AAAGAAAACGTCCGTAAGACGTCTTAAGTCTCGTCCGTAAGACATCCTTAGTTGGTCTCAAATGAAAGGCTTGAAGACGTCTATTGCAGATGTCCTAAAGACGTCTTTTTAAGTCGTCCTAGAGACGTCTTTTGACGTTCTAGAGACATCTCTGGCTGGTCTAATTTTAAAGACTTAAGGACGTCTTTTTCAGACGTCCAAGAGATGTTTAAATTTTACCAAGACATTCTTTTAAAAAATATATAAAAATGCAATGATTTACAACACAAACCTTAGATTTGCCTTAATCTAGGCAAGGGAAGTTATAAAAAGAAATCAATGTAAATAAAGTGTAATTTGATATATTTAAAATAAATTAATAACTTTACAAAAAATAAGAATAATTTTTCAAACAAAGTTACATTTTCAAATTAAAAACTAATAGGTACAGTAGAATATAATCGATAGTGAATTATAAATAGAAGAAAATTGCTTAAAAATGGAAAAAAATAAATAAAATACAACAGTTAAGCCATCATTGATCGAAATCGCTATTAGTGGATGTTCTCTTTATTCGGTCAGAAGAATGCCTAATTACTTTTCCAATAAGTTGGATGGTATCCATTTTGATTAAACTTTTATTTGACTTTAAAGCAGCTTCTAATAAAAACAACAAAACATGTTTTAAAAAGATCATTAAAAAAAAAATGTCATGTATACATACACTTGAATACATGTCATGTTCCATAGCCAAAGAAATTAAATTTTTTCGCTTACTAATGTGTTTGATTAATTAAAAAATTAAAAAACATCATTTTTAATTTTAAATTAATCAAACACATTATTAAGCTAATAAGAATACCAGTGACAGCGTAACATAGACTTGTCAACTCTTTAAACTTTTTTTTCTTCTTTAGACAATTCATGCTGTATTCTGACAAAATAGTGTCTGTTGTCAGTCTACATAATAAAAAAGTAGAGAAATGCTGTACTGTCAATCATAAATGTTAAAATTCAAACTTTTGCTAATTAGTTACAAGAGCAAAATATTTTTAATTGTATCAGCTAGATTTTTACCCCCAATTAATGATAACTGTTTTACCTAAAAAGAAACAATGTATTAGAAACATTGACAATGTTTATAACAATTTAAAATAAATATTGTAATAATATGTAACATATAAAATATAAAGTTGAAACTCATGTATACATAAGTGATGTATTGGATATCTCCATTTGCGAATTTTTTTTTCAAAACATTAAATTTATCTGAAATTTTACGTTATTTAAAACCTTCTTCTGGATTATTAGAGAACAGTGCAGTTCTAACTACTAAAATTTTTTTCATTTCAGCAAGTTAGAATACAATTTTTTTCTAAAACTCTAAAAAGTAAAATATATAAGTGAAGCCATATAAATAGTATATAAAATAGTAAATAGTACTTCCTATATATGGTTGAAAAGAGGTAGATTTAAACTGAATAAAGCAAAAAATCTCAAGTTTCATGCTTAACCTTAAAAAAATTTAGAAACAAGTAAAGTTCAAGAAAATTATAGGGTCTTTGTCTAATGCCAAAAACTGTAAATAATTGCTTCCTATACACAAACGCACACACACACAATCATATATATATATATATATATATATATATATATATATATATATATATATATATAATATATATATATATATATATATATATATATATATATATATATATATATATATATATATATATATATATATATATATATATATATATATATATATATATATATATATATATATATATATATATATATTATATATATATATATATATATTTATGTATATATATATATATATTAGGGTGTCCCAAAAAACAACATTTTTGAAAATAATCTGCTCTCACCCCCTAAATGTGTTCTATCTAAAGCAAAAACACTAGGTTTAAGTTTCTTTTGAATAAAAAATATTTTAAGGGGTCCCTCAAGACCCTCGAATATTTAATGGGTCCCTAATATTTTCGAAAAAAAAGTTTTTTAAAAATATGTCAACCTGGTACTCAAATGAAGCGAAATTATATAAAAATTTTAAAAATAATATTCATTTCGAAACAAAATTGTTATTTTTGGTTTTATTATATAAAAAATCGCGTTTTTTAAGAAAAAATAAAAAAAATGCATTTCTAATGTCTTTTTATGATAATTTTGATAGGTTAAAAATATTTCGAAATGAATATCATTTTTGAAATACTTATATAATTTCGCTTCATTTGAGTACCAGGTTAGCATATTTTTAAAAAACTTTTTTCGAAAATATTGGGGACCCATTAAATATTTGAGGGTCTTGAGGGACCCCTTAAGAGATTTTTTATTCAAAAAAAAATTTAAACCTTGTGTTTTTGCATAAGATAGAACACATTTAGGGGGTGAGAGCAGATTATTTTCAAAAATGTTGTTTTTTGGGACACCCTAATATATATATATATATATATATATATATATATATATATATATATATATATATATATATATATATATATATATATATATATATATATATATATGTATATATATATTATAAATATATATTATAAATATATATTGTATATATATATATATATATATATATATATATATTATAAATATATATTGTATATATATATATATATATATATATATATATATATATATATATATATATATATATATATATATATATATATATATATATATATTATAAATATATAATTTATATATATACATATATATATATATATATATTTATATATATATATATATTATAAATATGTAATATATATATATATATATATATATATATATATATATATATTGGAGAATACACAAAATAATTTATACATATATATATATATATATATATATATATATGTATATATATATATATATATATATATATATATATATATATATGTATATATATATATATATATATATATATATATATATATATATATATATATATATATATATATATATATATGTATATATATATATCTATATATATATATATATATATATATATATATATATATATATATATATATATATATATATATATATATATATATATATATATATATATATATATATATATATATATATATATAATATATATTAAATGTAGACATCTTCTATGAGAGTATGTAAATTATTTTTTTATAAACATCAATAAATACGATTTTCTCTCAATACTAAATTTTTTTTTTGATTTTTTAAAAGAAATTTTCGCTGGATTGTTGTGACCAGCGTCTTCAGCTTAAAAGATTTTGTTTGTTTTTGTTTATATGTTGTTTTTAAATATATAAAACTAAAGTTTTCGGGCTTAGCAGGTTTGGTAGAA